ATAACCCGTTCTTAAAGGCACGGTACAATTCAAAAAAAATCGATGACTGAACTCAGACGCGTACTAAGCTGAAAACTTAAAGTGACCCCATAATTCGTGACTGCAGAATCTGTACAATTAAAAAAAAAATCTTTAACACAAAATAATCAAACACTAAACATAGACACACATCAATTTTGTCTTCTCTATTTTTTTTAAAAAAAATTGACCAAGTTTTTTCTAAAAATAGCAGTTCAGGAAAATCTCAACCAGTATACAAATGTTATATATCTCATAATCATACCCAAATCAATATCATAATATTAACAATTCATGTCACAATCCTTCCTCCAACCAACAATTTATCAACAAACACAACATAACAATTTCTCCAGCTAATATCTATGCCTAAAGGCACCATATAATGCAAAAATATCACCAATGAGAAAAATGTGAGTGCATTAAAATAAGTTAACTCCATTCAAGTAGTGGTTGAATTGCAGATAAGTTTACATCAATTTGGGCTTTCTATTTTTCAAATAATTTCAACAAAGTCATCTCCAAAAATACGACTTCCTAATTAACAATGTAAGATTCCTTGATTATGAAAAGGAATTACAATCCACCCACTAAGTGATCAAGCTATCAAAGCAACTACAACTTTGTGTGACTAAATCAACATGAAGAAAGGAAAGACAATGAATTAGTCACATCCACGAGAGACAAACCAGACAAAAAGAAAAGGAAAAGATAAATCAATATTAATCCAATTGCTCAAGTTGGGATGAATATCAACACCTTATTATGTACCAAACTCTAATTTATGTAATAGAATCAATACTTTTTTAAGACTTACAAAATTCCACCCAACAACTAAAAATCAGACAACAAAATCCACAAAGGATGAATCAGGGGCACATGAGGCAGAAATTGGCTCAACTCAACAAAAGATGAATCAACTGCAAATATCTAGAGAGAGGGAGAGATAGTGAATCAACTGCAAATATCTGCAAATTTTATCTAAACTAAGCAAAAATTATCAAAAAAACCAATGCGTATGGGTTAAAGATATTTAAAAGATTAACCTAACAAATATCTAGAGAGAGGGAGAGATTAACCTAACAATTTTGGTGCGAGGCAAAGAGAAAGAGAGAGGAAGAGAAAGAATTGACCTGATAAATCACCAAGCACCAAAGAATCAAATTGTTAACCTATTTTACAGTACCAGAACACAATAATTTGCCACAAAGCTAAACCAAAATCCACCAAGCACCAAAGAATCAAGTGATCATGGAATACAATGAGCATTAAGTTTGACAATATAAAAAGTTGGTAGCTTGCTATTGGAACCTACATGTGAAGGGAAAAAAGGCATCCCATATCAAACTATGAAGGAAACAAAATCGCTGAAGTTATGAAGTTTAGAACAAACCACTCAGAGCTTAGACTTAAACTTTCGAGTCAAGTACAAAATGTTACTTGTATGTAAGTCTAAATTCTAATAGTAGGCGAGAGGTGAATAAATTGTCCAAAGCCCAAAAAACTTAGCAAACCAAGCTCATGGTTTAAAATATCAAGTAAAATGGTGAATGAGACTATTGCCAATTTGCCACAAATCAAGCAAACGCTAGAGTATACCACCGTGATGGTTTTTGGTGATAAACAGATACAGAACTTGTATGAAAAACATATGTGTGTGTGATTCAGAATGTATGTCAGGGGCATTTGATCGAATAGCTTGTGGGCATTTGAACGAAGAGCAAAACCAAACAAATAGAGGCTGAGAAATAGACATACGGAAATGAAGAGCAAAACCAAACAACGAAGCATTCACATTCCATGCAATGTCTAAAAGCAAACTAAATAAGTACATTCGAGTTAAAACAGCGGAAGGGACAATATAGCACCACTCTCCAAAAAAGCCAACATATTATGAGTGTCCTCAACCTCTGATACATAACAAATGAACCATTAAGCCTCTAATCGCTTAGATTAACATGAAAATAGTAATAAGACATTGGAAACCACATGCCTACCGCCGAGATATGTATGAAAAACAGCCAAATAGGTATCAAATGTCAAGTCACCAGATGCTGAAGCCCCTCCATAACCACAACTACTGTGATCCATAACCAAATGGCACAAAAGAATAAGCAGTTATAAACACACAAACGAAAATTAATACAACTTTGATTTAACTAAGAATAAAAAAAACCCACGATATAAGCTTAAAACAATGTAATGACAACCAGAACACTGGGAAAAAAAAAACTCTAGCTCTTGAGATGTTAAAAGCATACACGACAACACTTAATATTTATTTCCTTTCTTTCCTCCTACAACTCAAAAAAAAAAAATAAATAAAGCTTCTCTCAAAAAACTTTCAATAGCTGCTTTTCAACTCTATATGAAACTATAACGTTAAACACACAGATGCACGAATATATTCGTCTCCATAAACCTAGAATTAGAGTGAATTTTTGGAAAATCAAATTTCGATTAAAAATAAACGGAAACGCAGAATTAGTATTTATTCATTCTGAATAAGGTTCATAAAACCCTAAATCCCAAATAAAAAAAAATAATGACAAAAAATAAACGCAATATTTCTCATAAATGCACGAAACTAAAAGAATTGTAAATTAACAATACAAATTATATATCCTAAAGATTGTTTGCTAATTACTTGGTTTCATCGTCGTTGGATGATTCTTCGTCGACTACTTCGACCTGCAATTCCTTCGATTCAAGCTCTTGTATTTGTTGGTGTTTGTGCAGAAGAGGGATGGGGGGTGTTTGCATTGAAGTGGCAACCTATCTTCGGCATGATTTTAGGGGAAATGACTGGTCGCCTGAGAGAGAAGAGACTGGTAGCCTGTATTCAGCATGATTTTGGGGAAGTGACTTGCCACCTGAGAAAGAAGAGACTGAGGGTTGTTTGGTCTTCATCTTTGTTTGCAGGAAGTCGTTGCTCTGGGTTGGGCTGGATGTGATAGTTTTGGGATGAAAAATATACGGGGTATAAAATTTCAAAGTGGTAGTTGTTTTATTATATAGATTATGTATACATTAATTTCATATAAAAATACAATGATAAAATATGTATTTATATATATATATATAGCGTTAAGTTTTTTATTCAAAGTTTATGTGGGTCAACACGAATACGAATACGAACACGAACACGACATGAAAATAAATAGGTCAACTCACAACTCGAGATGACACAATTAGTTAAATGACTTGAGTTATGTTTGAGTAATATTCGACACAAACCCGCAATAAATCAAAATGAATTTGACACGATAGGATTCGATTGTCACTCCTATTCTTAGCCAGTACAAAAAAAATAAAAAAATTGTCATTTTTATTTTTTATCCATCCAACCAAACACAAATGAAGGAAAATGTGTCATTCTTACTTTATTTCCTTGAAGAATAGAAAGTGTATCGCTTTTATTTTTCATCCTTCTTATTTTTCATCATTCCTACCAAACGGAGCATTAGTAAAAGTCTCTTTTACCCTTTTTGGTATTTCTTGAGTTGTTATCTAACCTATCCTCTGGATACCCACAGATGACCTGACATTTCCTTTAGTCTGAGAAGGACGCTTTCTTTTGGTATCGTTAGTTGTCCCCAGCCCCAAGACGAGGCTAACTTGATGAGACCCTTGGTTAGGGTGGAGATCTTTAGAGCACGACGGTCTAGCTATGTTCGGTGGTTATGATTATATGAAGTGTTGGAAAAAATTGGATGCAAATAAAGTGAACGACAGGGTGAGGCGCGAACTAAGTCGTTTTCTTAAGATGATGCGCGGCCCTTTATGCAAGAATCACAGTGCATAAAGTACGCGTCGTCCCCAAGATACAGCAGCCCAGTCTATTGACTGATGTTTCACTGAAATTTGTACAATCGAATGAAGCAGAAGCTTCACACACACCTTTGAATATTGTCCAGAAACTTATATTATAAGAAGATAATTCATATGATATTGTATCTCTCTATACTGAAAATACATGTATATATATATATATATATACAAATAATACATGTGTTTAATAGACTGTAATTACTTATATATTTAATTGTATAATAACTCAAAAAAATATGGTTGTTGGAATACTAGCCATTAGAGGTTTTGGTATTCAACAACTGAAATTTTAATATAGAAGTAATGACAGAAAATAATTAAACAAAATATTAAAAAGTGGGTTTAATACTAGTTAATATTTTAATTCATTTAGGCAAGTCAGGGGGATCCACTACCTAGGTCGTGGACTAGGCACACCTCGTATCTCCTCCGCTAGACCAACCCTTGCGCACGTGAGAATCCCAAAATCTCTTTTTAATTCAAAGGGTAGATAACACTAGTATATATATACTCAAGTATCTTAAGATATTTAGTCAATCTGGGATTGAGTTTTTACATAAAAAAAACACTCTTTTAATTAAAATATTATAAACATGAAAGATGTTTTTTAACCATTAATCCCCCGTTAATGAGACGTCTGCCGACGAGACCACCATTCCTGATAATTGTATCCTCCGAGAGGTGCCCCGACATTATGAGGTTGAGAATGTTCTTGAGAGCCCAATCTCCTAGACTATGAGATTCGTGTCCAGGTGCTGAATTTGCAATAGGCCAGCCTTCTAGGGACTCCCTAATGCTCAGACCTTGCTGCTCGTCAAACTCTCTCTGTAGTTTCGGAGTCTGACCTGAATGTAGTGGTTTAGACCATTATTGGAAATATGGTTAGGGAGCCAACCATGGCCTTGTAGAGATTGTACTTTATTTCTTCCCCATTTTAGTCTCCCACAACTTGAGAATTATCCTAGGAGCCTCTTCAGAAGATTTTCCTCAACCGTTCTCTATTTTTATAGACTGCTACTAATCGGAGCTTCTTTATCGTACTGGTCCCGGGTATAGAAAAGCAATTGAATTACAAGATACTTGAAAGCTAGGTTGGCCTATGAAGGTTGTCTGCTCAGCTGAATATTGCTAAGGCTTCGAAGCTAGCTTTGATGGACCAACTCGAGCAGGTGAAGTCTAAGCTTGCAGTAGCAAACCGAGCTACTGACGAGGCAAGGGCTGAGAAGGCCAAGGTTAAAGTGGCTCTATTGAAGGAGTAGCTCTGGGAAGTCTCAGGGAAGTGTGTAGACTTGGCATCTTGCCTTTATATTAGTGTAGAGAAGGCCATGAAAGATTTTAAAGAATCTAACATGTACAGTGAAACCGGGAACTACTTGGGTGGGTATGATGCTTTCGAGGAACAAACAAAAATAAGTATTCGAGGAAAAGTACCCTGACCTGAATTTTGACCCTTTCGGAGTTCAAACTTCATCTGATGAGGAGGTTGGGTTGAAGGCCAAGAAGGGTGTTGACAAAGAAGTTGAGGAGCAGGCTGAGGGACTGGCAAAACCGACTGAGGAAGCTGCCAATAGTTATTAGAACATGAACGAGCATCTGGTGGAGGGACTGAGTCAACAGGTTATTAGTTTAATGGTTAGACCAGTCATATAACTAAAATAAAAAATATGTATCAGTAATGGTGAATATGCAAAAAAAGTCATTGTAGTTATAAAAATAACAAGTTTGTCATTTAGTAGATCAACAAAAACATAAAAAAAAAAAATTCACAATTCATCAAATTCATAGTCAATTTATACCATTTGATGAAGCCTTAAAAAAAAATCCACAAATAATGTACTAAATATTGGCACGAGTAATACAGTGATGACCAAACAACTAAGGAGAAAAAAAGAGGTACTAAAGTAGAATATTGGAAGGTACAAAAGAATTTGAATAAAAGCCAATATCTCTCCATCCCAGATTGGAAACCCACAAGACTACTAGAAAGAAGATTCAACTATAAAACTTTTGCTTCATCCTCAACCACTAGTTACAAGTGAGATAGAATTTGAAACCGAACATTTGAAACCTAAGGTTGAAGTGTCATAAATGAGCTAATATAATGGCTTCCGCTTGAGAGTTGAAGCATGAGAATATTAAAACATTAGATTAGTTGCGATAAATTTTTGCCTTATACAAGGAATCAGACCCATCCTGGGTGATATGAATCATCCGGTTCATGTGATTTTTCTAAAAATCATCATATTTATACTGGTTTTAGGCTGGTTATTAGCTTGAACAATCTAATATAATAACCAGCCCAAACCAGTCGACCGGGGTTGATCCTTTGGTCAAATCCAATTTTAATAACACTGAAGCTAGTTGATTTATATTGATATATTCTTTGAGTTTTCCAAATTTTGACTCTTTTTTTATCTGTTTTTTTGTTTTGTATAACGTTACCATTCTCTCATTATGCTTTACTTTTTTGGGTCATGTGGAAGTCGGTACACAAAATTAGACATAATTGTAAAAAAGTATATAGAACAAAATATTTTGAAAAAAAGTATACAGCTGAGATACAAAGACAAAAAATGTTCATTCTGTAAAATTTTCTTTACTAGAAACTTTAACAACGCATTTATTAAGCGTTGAAATTTAGAGTCATTTAATTCAAAATCTCTTATCTTTAATTCACCTTAATTCATGCGAATTTTTTTTGAAAATTCGTTTTATTTTTAAATTATATTTATGTATTAAATATTTACTACTACTAGTTTTATAGGAGAATTTTAATATTCTGTTTATTTTAGAATATATCACTTATTTGAATTTCAAAATTTTTTAATATCCGAGCTCCATAATAGTGTAACAAAAACAGTGTAACAAAGACAGTATAACAATACACTGTAACAAAAACAGTATTCAATAATTTTGTGCATGTGGTAATAAATTCAAAACAGATGCGGACTGTTTTGAATGAAATTATATTAAAATACTCTCTCCGTTCTTAAATATCTGTCATTTAAGGTTTTTACACAGGGATTAAGGAAGTTATTAAATAGCTCTAATATGGTAAAAAATAATTACACAAGACTAAAATGCCCTTATTCAATACGTATTGGGAAGAAAAGGAATATGAAATGTTCTTAGCCTCCACCTAATCTAATGCATTGAAAAGTTAAGGGTAAATTTGGAAGAAAAAATATTAATTATGTTTTGGTTTCATAAAACGACAGATATTATAGAACAAAAAAATTGTGTAAAACAACAGATATTTAGGAACGGAGGGAGTATATGTTTGACAAAAAGTAATAGTAAAATATTTTGTGTAAATGACTTGTTACACTGTTATACTATTTAGATATTAATATAATTTGAAAACAAAATCACTTTTCAAAAAAAAAATGCACATGAATCAAGGTACATTAAATATAATTTGAAAACAAAATCATTTTTCAAAAAAAAAGTACACATATCAAGGAAGGACATACAAATATAAAATATTAAATTTCTCCCATAAAATTAGGAGATGTTTAATGCACAACTTTCCAAAGAAAATACACACGAATCAATGGAAGACAAAAATGTCACAAAAAAATTAGTAAAATTCAAATAATGTACTTAGATACAAATAAGAATCAAAATTAAGGACTTAATTATCCAATATTTTTTCTTGTGTACTTTTTTGCAATTAAGTTTAATTTGGTGTACCCCCTTCTAATTTTTCCTGCTTTTTTTTTGCTCCTTCTCGTGCCTTGCACTCTCTCTTTTCTTTTATAGTTGTTTAGATTTAAAACCATTGGGCCTCAACATTTTTACAGCTGTATGTTTTCCCCCCCAATTCACATCTAGAAGGTTCCTCTGCTATCCTTGTAGAAGTGAGGATACAAATTGGGTTTTTATTGAGTAGCCTCAATTAACTGCTTTGGGCTTTTTGAGCTATAACAACTGAAAAGTCTGAATTTTGCTAAATTTACCTTTTTCCCCAGATTGAAGAGCATGATTGAGCTCATTTCCTTAAGGCTGAGAAGCCTGAACCTGGCCAAGCTCATTAGTTTAGGTTGAGGAGCCTGAATTCATCATCAATAGTTCAAGGTTGAGAAGACTACACTTATTTTTCTGAACTGAATATTCTAGTGTGTCAAGCCGATCTGATGAACTTCAAGGAGGCTAATAAGCTTGGGAAAGGTTAAGAAGACCGACTTCATTGTTGAGGTTGAGTAGCCTAAACTTAGGAATTTTGAGGGAGCCTTGGGCTTAATGATAGACTGATAAGTCTAAGATTTCAATGCTGAGTTTGACTCAATACAAGGTTGAGAAGCCTGATATAGCTGAAAAGTCTGTTATGGTTGAGGAGCCTATTAGAGCTGAAGAGCTTAACGTTGTTGTGTTTGAGGACCTTGATGTGGTTGAGGAGTGATGCATACTTAAAATTAAAATTTTACTATACTCTTACAAGACTAATTATTCAAGGGAAAAGTTGTACAAGGGCCTAAAGTCAATAACATCAAACTTTAGAGTAACACCTATGTGTTCTGGAAGAGAATTAGAAAAGAAGGGAGAAAAGCATCCACGTTCGAACGACAATCCACATTTGAACGCCATCTTGAAATAATTGAGGGCCCCCAAGAGATTGCTATGGTGATGACACGTGGCCTGTTGCAACTATTTACTTTGGAGGAAAAAAGCTACTTGAGTACCACATTCAAACTCCAACAGTGTTGGAATGCTCATCAAAGAAGACAAGCTTCCATGTTGGAATGCTAACAACGTTCGAACGCAAATCCTAGACAGGCAGCAGGAAGATTAGATCTCCATCTCAATTTCGGGGCATTCACTTGGACTTCAAGCACCTAGAACTATTCTTTTAATCTTCTTTTACCCCTCCTCCTTGCATACAAATACCGTCCCTTGGAACTTTTTATCGATCATCTTTTGGAAGCGGAAGAAACCCTCCAAAAGTAACTAGCTTTCTTCTATTTTCATTATTAGTTTCATTTGTTTCCATTGTAAAAGATTCTTTCTTCACTTAGAGGATTGAAACTCTCTCACCTTTCTAGCTCTCTTGTAGACTTGAAGGATGGGTAATGATTCACTCATTTTTTGTTGAAGATAGGCTTATTGTGTAGTGTAGTTTAGCTTGTAACTCCTCTACTTGGAGGGAAGAGAATCACTCACTTTTTTAGTTTTCTCAAAGCCATGAAGAGTGAATAGTTTCTCATTCACTCTTTAGTAAGAGGTGATGGACATGTATAAATCATTTAGAAGTTATATTTATGCATTTCATTTATGTTTAATGCTTTATCTTTTAATTTCTTATTGAATGATTGAATGCATATAGTAAAACTAAGGTACTTTGTACAATCTTGAGTCATTTCTAAGACAAGTTAACTCTTGGCATAGGAGGATTCATTGGTCCGTTGCAAGTAATCAAGCTAGATCTTCATCAATCTTCACTATTATTGTGCTTTAACTATGAATGGAATAATATTGTAGTGGTTGGATGATTTTTAGAATTACTTGCTTGTTTGTAGATGGGTTATTGCTTGTTTGTAGATGGGTTAAGTCCCGACACTGACAATTCTTGTAAATCTCTACAAAGACATTGGAATCATACTCTTAATTCTCATAGTCCATTTTTATCCTACAATTAACTTGTTATTTACAGAAGGATTAGTTGAGTTGTCAAGCACAAGTATAACAACCGGATGATTGACTATATGTCCCGATTCTTAAACTAAAGGGTGACTTTTTTCATTTAAGAGAATATTATATTTTATCTAGAAAACTTTAAAATCATCATAACTTCAAATCTCAAGGGTTCCAGTCACTTTGGTCTCTGTCACTATTTACTTCAAAACAACAATAATAGTTCCCTAGATTTGACTCTGGACTTAACCGGATTATAACTACAACTTGACCGACTGCACTTGGGTGTACATGTCTTGATCCGAAATGTATACACCCAAGTGCAGGCGATCAAACTGTAGTAATAATCCGGTGAATTCTGGAGTCGAATCCATAGGGAGCTATGATTGGTGTTTTGAAAAAAGCAGTAATAGAGACAAAGTAACTTTTGGAAATTTCACGTGTTTAGAGTGGTGGGATTTTCTTGATTAGAATAGAAGATTCTTTTCAAGAGTTTTCTAGACAAAATATAAGATTCTCAAAATGGAACAACCACTCTTTAGCTCGAGGATCAGGACATGTAATAGAGTATCCATTTTGTTATGTTTGTGCTTTATAACTCAATTAAATCCCGTGTCAACAACAAGTGAATCGGAAGATAAAGATGGACTATGAGAATTAAGCACATGATTCTGATGCCTTTCTAAAAGTTTACAAGAATTATCTGTGCCGAGACTTAACCTGTCTACAAACAAGAAAGTGTTTCTACAAGGCATCCAACTATGACATTAATGATCCATTCTTTGAATAAAGCGCAATGATAGTGGGGATTGAAAGATTTTCATGAAGAGCTAGCCGGGGTACTTGAATTGAATCAACGGATCTTTCCATGTAGGAGTCATCCGTATCATAGATTGAGCCCTTGGTTATACAAAGTACCTCAACTTTACTAGGTGCATTCAATCGTCCGATGAATAGGTGGAGTATAAAGCATTAAAGTATGAAGAAGTTGCACAAACATAACTTTCGGATACTCTTTACATATTCATCACCTCTTACTAAAGAGTGAATGAGGAACTACTCACTTTTCATGGCCTTGACAAAGCTAGAAAAGTGGGTGCTACTCATCCCTCTAAGTAGAGACGCTACTAAGTAAAGCAACTAAACAAAGAGCTTTTCTTCAATGAAGAATAAGTAAATCACTTTCCACCCTTCAGGGCTTTGGTAAAACTTTAGAAAAGTGGAAGAGTTTCACTCTTCGAAGAAAGAAGAATGCTCAAGCAATGGAATTGAAATATTTGAACAAGAAAAGTAGAAGAAAGCTAGTTGCTTTTGGAGGATTTTCATCACAACCAAAAGATGAACTACCTCTCTTGATACTTTGTAAGTAAAAGCAAGTACAACTACAAGGGGAGTCTAAGCCTCCATCATGGTTGTCACAACATGAATGTAAAGACTTAGCATAAGTAAATGAAAGACTTCAACTACAAGGGGAGTCTAAGCCTCCAACGTGGTTGATATAAATGGAAAATGAAAGCATAAACATGAAATATTCAAGAACTAGATTACTAAAGCACTCTTACTTTACAAGATAAAGATTGCTCCCTCCTTTCTCTACAAGAGGAAGAATGCCCTTTTAAGCTCCCAACAAGGGAGTATTTATAGGCAAGGAAGGGGAGGGGGGTAGGAGATAGGTGAGGATGAGTGAATAGTATTTGCCCCCCATAGGAGTTAACTATTCTGCAGGCAGTCTGCAGGGGGACGTTCAAACGTTATGTGGCGTTCGAACATCAAGTCTGCCTTTGCTTTGAAGGCGTTCGAACATCATCTTTCTTCCACTCAAGTGGCCTGTGGTCATTGACTTAGTCTCTAACTTAGTGATTTCCACACGCCTTGACATCATTGACTGTACACTCAAGCAACTCCTTAGTCACTCAAGACAACATTTGAACGTGGAATGACATTCGAACGTTGTACTCAAGTGCTTCTGGTTCTTCTCTTTTTATTGACTGCAACATGCTATGTCTCAACAGCTGGTCTTGGCAGGGTTTCAGATGACGTTCGAACGTTGGTTGACGTTCGAACGTCCTTGCTTTGTTCCAACCTTCTGCATTTTTGCTCTTTTTTGTGCTGGTGTTACATTCAAGTGTGATTTTTGTTCTTCTTGGGCTTTTGTTCACTTTAGGACCTGAAATGTCATTACTTAAAATCCGTTAAAGCATAATTAGTCCAAAAAGGCATAGTAAAATTTATTAATTTTACACACGAATCAGTACACATTTCGGATCAAGTCAAATTTTTAGAGCATTTGCCGAGGAACCAAATGGTGTTTAAAGTAAAAAGTGAAAAAACATTTATTTGTTGTATATATTTTTGATTTACTGTATATAATTCTTATTTTATGTCTGAAAATGATCCTTGCTTTCCAAATTTATCAGAAGAATCAGTTGGGTCTGTCAATCAATCTGAACTATCTTCACCTCGAGCAGTAGTAGAATCTTTTGATAATAGCATGACCAATAATGAGAGAGAATGGAAAGTTCCTAACATTCGAACTCTACAAGATTATTTGCATCCTTCACGAAATAGTGTCCCCTCTTGTGTAGTGTTTCCTACAAATGCACCCCTCTTTAATGTAAAGGTAGGGACAATGCAATTACTACCTCAATTTCATGGACTGGAATCATAATACCCATATTTGCATATTAAAGATTTTAAGGAGGTATGTGAAACATTCCAAGATAATTCTGAATTGGCCAAGTTGAAACTTTTTCCTTTATCTTTAAAGGACAAAGTTAAGCAATGACTAAATTTTTTGAAAACCCATTCAATACCAAACTGGCAGACATTACAGAATGAGTTTTTCAAAAAAAAAAAAACTCCTCTACACCGTACCAATGCACTCAAAAGGCAAATCATGAATTTTTCAGTTAAAGAGTGAGAAACATTTTACCAATGTTGGGAGAGATTCAAGGATATTCTCCAAGCCTACCCACCCCATGCTTTTGAGAATTGGACTTTGGTAGGATTTTTATGTGATTCTTTACCCACTAGACTACATCAGTTTGTTGAAATGATGGCTCAAGGAGAGTTCATGGGAAAAATTCCAGAGGAGGCATTTAATTTTTTTGACACCATATCCGAGAGTTCTCAGATGTGGAACTTAGCCTGTCCTACCCCTGTTGAAGCCAAACCATCTACTTCCCAAGGCGGTAATTATGTCTTGAAAGAATATGATGACCTGAGAGCGAAAATAACTACCTTGTCTCGAAAGCTTGAAGCTTTAGAGATAAAGAAGGTAAATCAAGTTGATGTTCGCCCTCCCATAGAACAAGTTTGTAGAATTTGTGCGTTGATAAGACACCCTGCTAGGGAGTGTCCTACCATTTTTGCATTCAAAGAAATCTTGTTAGAACAAACCAGTGCAATTTTTAATTTTAACAAGTCTTATTCCAACCATTATTCTGAAACGTACAATCCAGGGTGGCGGAATCACCCAAATTTCAGTTGGAGGAACACGCAACCAACTTTATGAATTAACAACAAGGTTCACAACCACCACCTCAAAGACCTTCTGCATATTAACCATACCAACCACCACACAAAAAAGTATTGAGGACATATTGAATCAATTCATACAAAGTCAAATGAACTACAACAATCATTCTACTGAGGCTTTCAATGATTTTAAAACCCAGACCACTCAGTCATTTGAGGATCTCAAATGTCATATCCAAAAACTCACCCAGTCAATGACCACGCATGAAAAGGACAAGTTTCCTGCTCAACCGA